CATAAAGTGTAATAAGAGTACATTGAAATCTAACTGAGGATCAAGAGAAAAATTTATAAATTTGAGAGAGAGATTCACCAGGTGTAATGTTCTATCTAATGTGTAACTGGAGTAGAGTTATACTAGGATTAAAGGGTGTCCACAAGTTAAAGTATGAAGAATGATAGGGACAGGTCTAGAAATAATAGCAGGTGTAATTCTTAGAGTGAATCTCACATTAAGGGAGCTGGAATTTCAGCTCTACGTATGTAAACATAGAGCTAGGTTTATACTTAGCAGTAATTTGCTTCCCTTAAATTCTAGCAGCACAAGAAAGTGCTTGATCCACAGTGTCCTCATTTGTCTTTTACAGTTTAGCTTTACAATTTTATGCTCTATTCTTTTTAAAAACACATAAATTAGTACCTTTTTGATTGGAGAATAATATTAATTTAGTTATTCCATTTCAGACTCTAATTGGAGTGGAGCCCTTTAACCAATAAATATCACATTAATAATAATCTCAGAATTTAAAGCACCCTTCCTACTGAGGTTTTGTTGAGCTTGTAATTAATATAGTGTTATTTCATTCAATTTAAACATGTTGTTAACTATCTTTTTTTCCACTTCACAGGCCACCTCCCCCACAACCGAAAGTATCATCTCAGGGAAATTTAGTTCCTGCTCGTCCTGCTCCTGCACCTCCTTTATATAGTTCCCTCACTTGATTTTTTTTAACCTTCTTTTTGCAAATGTCTTCAGGGAATTGAGCTTACGTTTTTTTTTCCTGACGTTTTCTTGAAAAGCCTTTCTTCCTGTTACAACTATGAATGAGAACGAAATACCACAAAACAAACTTTACTAACAAAGAAAAACAGAAACTAAGTGTGAGAGTTGAGAAACACAAGGAAATGCAGTAAAGCCAGGGAATTTAGAATAACATTTCCATTTCCATCACTGAATAAGTCTTATTCAGTCATCTGTGAGGTTAATGCATTTAACGTGGATTATGTTATTTTGAACATGATATTGCAATGATTCTCAAGTTAACTGTACTGGTGTAAGATTTGTCATTATGTGTTTAAATGTTATTCTGAATTTTTGACCTTAGTTATCATTAATGTAGTTTCTGGTTGAACATGTAATAATCTAACTCTATGAAACTGACTATAATTAGCTGGCAATAATATCTAATATTTTTCATGTTGCATGGGTTAATAATTATCATATACTATCATATACTTGTCTGTCATTCCCTACATGAATAAGCAGATATTCTGTATTCAAAAAAATCAAAAGAACGACAAATAAGATGTCATATTATTTTGAAAGTACAAAATACACTAAAAGAATGTGTGTATTCACACACAGTTATTAGCTTCTGTTTTTATGATCTTTCAACTATATATAACTATTAGAAAATTAATTTAATATTAGAATTTCTATGATGAATCATGTTAAAGCATGGCATTCTTTTACAATAGCATTATTTTAAATAAATTATAAGCTTTAAGGTACGAGGTATTTAATAGATCTAATCAGATTTGTTGATTCATGGCTATAATAAAGCAGGAGCAATTATAATGTCTTCAATCAATTGTGCTGTTATAAAACCACTTGAGAATTTCATGAGCACTTTAAATCTGAAATCTGAATTTTCAAAGCTTGCTATTAAATAATTTAGAATGTTTACATTTACTAAGATGTGGTGGATCATGTCTCTGTTGGCACTAATATTTTCATAGGTATTAGGCTGGAGAAAAGAAGGAAGAAAAGGTTTTCTTAAATAAATACAAAAAAGTTACTGTGGTATCTGAGTTATCTCAACTGTGTTACAAATGAATTTTTACTGTGGCAGAAATGGTATGAACGTAAAATTTTAAGCACTTAAAATTTTTTCATAACCTTTCATAATAAAGTTTAATAATAGGTTTATTAACTGAATTTCATTAGTTTTTTAAAATTTTTTGGCTTGTCTATATATACATATACAAATACAACATTTACAATAAATAAAATACTTGAAATTCTTTCTTGCGTCTCCTAGTAACTTCCTAAGTAATCAACTATTTATAATCTTATTAATTTAAACGTTAGAATTTTAGATAAAATTCTGGTTAAAATTTTATAGATACTATCTCATACATTTTTCAGATTTTTGTCAAATTGTGCACATGAAATTTTGTTAGTTTTGAAGACGGCAAAAATTTTAATTCTCTGAAGATAGCATGTATTAAGAATTGGTACATACTAAATCTTGGTACACATTAAAATTTGTGAGCAATCCCAAATGAAGTTTCTTTATTTCAACTTAAACCTCTGAATGAATTCATATAAGACTAAAATGTTTGTGCCTTTCACTCAGATACCCTCAGTTTTTAGTTGTGATGCATATCATGAAATTTTATAGTTGATAATGTATTAATTATGTAACTTAACCTTTTCTTGAAATTGGATGATTCCTTGGATCTTTGACTAGCTAGAAAGTTTTCCTAGAAGACTATTGGATCTGAACTTTTTTTACTTTTATATATTTTTACATATTTTGTGTATTTTTCACTTAGTTTTGTCCTTGATTTTTTTTGGATTTCTATTGAAGTTTCTTGGTCATAGATACCACTTCAAAATTGGAAAATATTAAAGAACTTCCTTTTCATCTGCAAAAGGAATAAAAGTCAAGGATAAATTATAAGTTTGAGATTCCTGTTTGTATGTTTACAAACTGACCTTGTTCAGGTTATTACATTTCCCTTTCATGCCTGGGTCTCTAACCATAGAGTGAAGCACAATCCCGGTTTCCTAAACATGAATCAGATTTTATTAAATTTTGTAAATGTTTACTGGAACTCTACCATATTGTAGGGACTGTATTAGGTACTGTAATATATAAGTTCTGGATGGGATACGTTATTTGCCCTTTTGAAGTACATTAACTGTTATGGAGAGAGCCTTACACTCAAGTAAGCACAATACAAAGTCAGCTCTATTAAAGAAATAAACAGGAAAGGTTGAGGAATGAGAAAGAACAAAGAAATATAAAAACTAGAAAGTAATTCAGAATTCTTACTACTAAGCATTAACTCTAATTGTTCTTCTAATTGCTGTGAAGCAAAGCAGAACCAGCTTTTGGCTCAACTGCTGTCTAAAACCAGTAGTTCTCAACCTTTCTGGCATGAGGGACCAGTTTCATGGAAGACAAATTTTCCACAGACCTCGGAGTTGGGAGGTGGTTTTGGGATGATACAAGCACATTACATTTATTGTGTACTTTATTTCTATTATGAGTACATGGTAATATATAATGAAATAATTATGCAACTAACCATAATGCAGAATCAGTGGGAGCCCTGAACTTGTTTTCCTGCAACTAGATGGCCCCATCTGAGGGTGTTGGGAGACACTGGCACCTGAAGTGTGTTGCTTATGTCCACTCTACTCCGTATTCTCATTTTGGTTGCTGTTCCTGCAGAAAACCCTGCTTCACAAAGATAGGATGTTGGAAATAGAAGCAGGCTTTTCAGTGCTGACCTGACAGGAGGTGAGGCTCAGGTGGTAATGCGAGTGATGGGGAGTGGCTGTAAATAGAGATGAAGCTTCCCTCACTTGGCTACCACTCACCTCCTGCTGTGGAGCCCAGTTCCGTAACAGGCCACAGATCAGTACTGGGGGGTTTGGGAACCTCTGGCCTAAAAGCGGTGTTGGTCTGGTGTTGGTTGTTCCTATTGAGACACAAACTAGGTGTATGTTTTTGTTGCCTTGTTTTTGTACATGCTATTTGTTTTCAGGCTTAGATTGCTCTGTTGAAATTGTATGCATCCAAAAATCTCATCTCAACTATCACTTTAAATGTGTTGATTCCCCAAGTGAGCTTTTCTGTGTTCCCATGGGGTGTTTTAGTTTGTGTTCTTCCTATCTATTAGTAAAAGAGATGAGTTCATTCATGGGATTTTAAGAGACTTAAAAGGTAGGGCATATAGATAGAAATTAGGGATGAGGCTTGGAGGGAAGAGGCATTGCAGTCCAAGAGAATAAAGCAAAAGACTCAGAGTCAAAGTGGCCAAAGCATGAGGATAGGAGAAAATAGGGGTCAGGCTGGAGTCCGTATTTAGAAAACTTTTCATGCTGTAATTATGGGCAAGAATCTCCTCCCTTTCACTGCATGAATGAACGAATATTTATTGCACTGAGAAGTTTCTGAACAAGAGAATGACATTACATGAATTTTAGACAAGGGCCTGTGGAGAAACAGATTGGAGGAAAAAGGCATACCTGGTTATGAAGTCCATTTGGGCAGCACCAGTGGAAAAACAAAAATGTAGCAAGCTCTCTCCCCAAATAAAAAAATTGGCTCCCTCTTCCCTTTCTTGGAACCTTTCATGTATCGGGCTAGCTCCTTTTAAAAAAAATTTTAGAAACAACTTTAGTAACTATGAATGTATATGTGTATTTGTGTTGTGCAATTTTAAAATAAAAAAAATATTAATTACCACGGTTCCTTTTAAAAGCACCTGGGGAGCCCGGCCTTGTGGTGTGCGTCTGTTGCCCCAGGGACTCTGAAAGCATCGCCTGAACCCTCCCAGTCCAGCCTGGACAAAATAGGGAGACCTTCCCGCAGCCAATCTCGTCTTAAAAAACAAAACAATACCAACAACAACAACAGAAACACCCAGGAAGTGTCTGATGCAGAAGAACACACGATAAGTGTGCTAGGTCTTTAGTTCCATCAACACAAAGCGAAAAGTTCGTGGAGAAGGACGACCACGACAGAGGGCCCTGGGTGGCGAGATGGCCCAGATGGGCCGCAGGCCACGTGGCCGGCGCTGCGGGCCGGAGCGCAACGGCGAAGCCCAGGGGGCCCACGGCCAGCG